CGTTCCAAGGCCTAAGCAAGAGTCTGGCAAACAAACCTGGCCTCTGGTGGTCAAGACTCCCTCTGCTGCGTGCAAGCCATGGATGTCATCAGGGCTGGTCTCAATGCGAACCAGGATCACCTTGTCGCCATCTTTGCAACGTCGCACGGCTTCGTCGGCAGAAAAGACGACCTGGTGAGAGCTTCACAAGCACGACTCGTCCGACTTGGATCAAATTAATTAATTCTGAAGTTCCGAACAATGCCTAGAAAGAACCGAGCCGAACATCCCCAAGTACTGTCAAGTCATGTTTTCGAGCCAGCAAACCTTTCCGCCAGCAGCACCAGGAGATGCAGGAAGGCCCTTTGCAATGACGTCCTTCTTGGCCTTGGGATCAAGAGTCGGGTGCAAGAGCTGGTCCACCAAATCCGGCTTCAAACTCAACAGGGCTTGACTCTTGGATATCAGGCCCTCCATCGCCATATCAACCGCAATCTGCAGCGCAGCAGGCGCTGTGCGCTTTCCGTTGCGCGTTTGTAACATGTAGAGCTTGCCCTGCTGTATTGTGAACTCAATATCTTGCATATCCTTGTAGTGAGTCTCGAGCTGGCTACGCACGGAGAGCAACTCCTTGAAGATGTTGGGCATGACCTCTTCCAAGGAAGGCAGGTCAGAGCCATGGGACTTTCGAGCTCTGATGGTAAGCTCTTGTGGAGTTCGGATGCCTGCCACGACATCTTCACCCTGGGCATTGACCAAGAACTCTCCGTAGAATTCGTTTTTACCTGTGGAAGGGTCGCGAGTAAAGGCAACTCCTGTGGCGCAGTCGTTGCCCATGTTGCCAAAGACCATGGCTTGCACGTTCACAGCAGTGCCCCACCACTCCGGGATGTCGTGCAGTTGCCTCGCAGGACTTCATTGCAAGGCTAGCATGATATGCTCGGCATATTTAGTCTTCACATTTCAACGCGTGATCCTTCCGTTCTTGCTTCCATGCTTTGGAATCCTTGCCTGTAGGTCTTGGCGCGCTGATTCATCCAGGAATTGAAGACTGCACCAATGGCGCCCCAGAGCTGCTTCTTGGGATCCTCGGGGAACTCCTCGCCCAGCTCCAACTGAACCACTGCCTTGTAGGACTTCACCAGCCCCTCCAAGTCCTCCGGAAGTAACTCGCAGTCCTGCACCGCAACATCGGGGCAATGTCAGTAAGGGAAGCAATGAAGTTGCATGTTTGGAAGATTTGAAGCCTAGCAGCTTCGCAAGACAATTTCAATACACTGTTTTGTCTACCCCTTCACCTGCTTGACGCCTCGCTTCTGCTTAGCACGCTCCAAATGCTTCTCAAACTGGTTGATCTCAATGCCGAGTACGACGTCGGAATACATCTGGACAAAGCGCCTGAAGCTTTCCCAATGTACAACTTGGCTAAAACACGCGAATCGGTTTTCCACGCATGGTCCCCTGCCTATAGCTGTCGAAGGCAAAGCGACGGTCACCAGACTTCTTTGCCAAAGCTTCCACAGTGGCGTCGTTCAGCCCCAAGTTCAGCACGGTATCCATCATTCCTGTCAACGAACAGTCGCAGCAGGCAGTGATGAAAGAAATCAGCGCGCTTTCGGCATCTCAAACGTCTGCCCTCACTGTCCTGGCATGGATGCACGTGCTCCAGAGCGCACCGACACCAGAAGCGGGTTGGTGGAGTCCCCGAACTTGCGTCCAGCGCGGCTCTCGACCAAATTCAAGGCCTTCTCCACCTGCACAGTCTAAAAAAAATGCCGAAAATCTACGCGGACATCATGCAAATCCCTCACACCGCTGTGGCCGTGCCTGTTGCTCAAGCTCCTTGGGATACTTGCACCCGTTCTGATAGAAGTGCGTGCAAACCTCCGTGGTGAGAGTGAATCCTGGTGGCACCGGCAATCCAATGGAAGCCATTTC